CCGATCCGCATACAAGCTGACTTATGAAACAGCACAGGGGTTATTAGATGGAGACACAAGCGTGGTTGGAGATATCCTGGAACTGAAAGACTTGGATGAAAGAATGAGGCAGAAGAAACTGGCTGAGCTGGTTTGGGCAGTATCAATGCTCACGGATGTAGCGCGGCACGTTAGAGCCAAGCGGGACAGCTGCGGTGCTCTGGAGCTGGAAGGGGTGGAAATCCGAGTGCAGCTGGATGATAAACACAACATCCACGATCTGATCCCCAAGCAGCCCCTGGAGGTGCACGAGACTGTAGCAGAATGTATGATTCTTGCCAACCACTGGGTGGCAAAAAAGATTTCGGAGCATTTTCCTCACCAAGCTTTGCTGCGGCAGCACCCTCCACCACGGCAGGAATTCTTCACTGAGCTCCGAGAATGTGCTAGTGCCAAAGGCTTCTCAATGGACACACGGTATCTTTTATTATTTAAGTGCTTTAATTAAAGTTAAGCAATTAAATATTTGGTTATGTTATCATCACAAACCACTACAGTTCTGAGTACCAGTGTTACAGACTCTGTGTAGCAATTCTTAACCCCAGTTTTCCCAATACCATTCTGTGAGTGGGAGATGGTGTTCTAAATAGGAGCTGATTTTTAACTGCTGTTTTTAACTATAAGCTCTTATGAGCAGGGACAGCATAATTTTCTTCAGAATTAACACTTTTTTGACAGGTCTAACAAAGCACTGGCCGAGTCTCTGGATAAAGCAAATGACCCATCTGATCCCATTGTAAACCAGCTGCTGCGCTTGATGGCCACTCACGCCATGTCCAATGCCTTGTACTTCTCAACTGGCTCATGTTCCGAGGAGGAGTTTCATCATTATGGTATCTTGTCACCTTGTTTTTTGGTGCTCCTCCTGTTCTGATTTCTGAACTGTTGCAGGGAGGCAGAGGATCGCTTTGCTTGCTTATCACTGCTCCCTTTTTTATCCACAGGACTTGCCCTAGAGAAGTACACTCATTTTACTTCTCCAATTAGAAGATATGCTGATATTATTGTCCACAGACTCTTGATGGCAGCGACTCTGAAGGAAAAGAAAGGAGATGTTAAGGATAACTTATTCAGTAACAAGGATCTCGAGGAATTGTGCAAACACATTAACAACAGAAACAGGGTAAGGTGGTCACTATATGTGTCACCATGTGTGTGTCCCCAGGCTACCCAAAGGAATAGTGGGACACCCATCCTGATCACAACGTTTGGGTGCTACAACAGCAGCGTATCACTTCATTTTTATTTATAATGCTGTGGGGTTTTCTTACTTAAACATCAGTTTTCTTCCGAGCGTGCTAGTAAAACTGACTTCATACTTCACCTGTACTACATGTAGGATTTCCTTTTAGATGTAACTTTTCTAGGGGTGGGTAAGGGAGAAAGTAATGGGAAAAGAAACTATGGAAATCGAAGCCAGTTGAAATATTTATGTAGGCTGTTTTGTCTTCTCTCTTTGGGGGGGTGCTTGCAGGCAGCCCAGCATGCTCAGAAGCAGTCTACTGAACTCTTCCAGTGCATGTACTTCAAAGACAAAACGCCAGAAACAGACGAGCGCTGCGTAGCAGATGGTGTTATTTACTCCATACGAACCAATGGAGTACTTGTTTTTGTGCCGAGGTGAGTTTAAAAAGAAGATGCGTTACTGGAATGCTGTGAGGACACCTCTGGTCCTTGAGAAAGGAAGTGTTCATAGGATGGCCTGGTGGTGACTGATGTCTGGTTTAGATTTCTGTTGTAAATCGTTAGCAGTTCTTTTCTGTGCTTTGACTCTGGGAAGGAGTTCCTATGAGGAAGTAACCACACAAAGCATGGGAAGGACATTTTTTTGCCCAAGCAGCTGCTAGGGCAGAACAATGACTGGAGCATTTCCCCCCTCCCTTTTTTAAACAATAGAAAGTGATTTTCCAAACCACAAAGCTGTGCATTCCTCAGTGCTCTTTTCCTTCGCTACAGACTGTACTCTGTGCAGGCTGGGAGCACCTTTCAAGCAGCTACTCATAACAGGCAGCACAAAGCACAGAAGAAACGTTTCCATGAAGCTGTTTGTAGTGTTAGGCTCTCATAAGCACCTGTATCATGCTGCTGATTTATGCTGGTAGAACACAGCTCTCTGCATGAAGCTAACAGTACATTGCCATTTCTGTGCTTTTAAATCTGTGATTTAAAGTACAGTAAATGTGTTCTGCATGTGTTACAAATTGACTAGTGAATGCTGTAAGAAGGCAATAGTCACGATAGAACTGGGAACGCTGCCTTCCATAGGGCTTGGCCAGATCTCCAAGCTGTGGGGGAAGAAAACTCATTTTCCTTTCCCTTACTGGCTCTGGACATTTTGGGTTAGTTAATGATCTTTGTGCAGTTCTGGTAGCAACACTGTCTGCCTGGCTAGCTCACAGGCAGCGAGTGAGCTAGCCAGATGACAAATGTAGGTGTAAGAATGCTACTGAAAAAACAAGAAAGAAACCAACCCAAACACCATTCTACAGGGATGTGTGAGGTAAAGCAAACTGCTATAGGAGTACCCTGAACTTGCATAAATAGAGCCAGGGCCTGTTTGATCCTGGCCACAGACTGAGCTTGGATATAAACCAGCTCAATGTAGGCATCTGGTCTCCAGATGGCTTGGCTTGGATGCAAGGCTGAAGAGCCAGAACCTACCCAAGCGAGGCAGGATTCCTTACAGAGAACCCACTGCAAATACCTGCTGCTTTTCAAGTAATTTGTTTGAAATGGAGAACTGTTACCTCACTGTGCTGCTGTCTGGAATAACCTGTAATGCTGCTGCTCTTCCATCACTGGGCCGTTTCGGGCTCCACCCAACACATAAGAGAATGGATCAGCCTGTCTGTACTTTACTTTTGCTTCTTTCAAATCACATCAGTCACCATCTTTGTTCTTATATACTCTAATATACTCTTAGCTCTTATATACTCTAGAGGTTTATTAGACAACGCACATCAGTGTCTCCAAAGCAGGGTTACCAGGCAGTTACTAACTGCCCCTTTATGTGGCTTCTATCTAATCCTTGCTAGCTTCAAAATTAAGAGAACTGATGTGGAAATGGTTAGAACAGCCTCTGCTCATCTGCTTTTTTACAGATATGGAATCAAAGCCGCTGCATATATGAAAAACAAAGAAGGTTTAGTCATCTCTTGTCAAGGTGATGGGAGCTGTGAGTGGAAGCCTGGATCACTGCAGCACTTTCAGAACAAAATTACTTCCACCACAACTGCTGGAGAATCAGTTACATTAAGCCTTTTTGATCATATTACAGTGAGTATTTAGAATAACAGAAGAGTTTGTGTTGGAGGGGACCTTAACATCAGCCCATTCCAATCCCTGCCCCGGGCAGGGACACCTTCCACTAGAGCAGGTTGCTCCAAGCCCCTTGTGTCCAACCTGGCCTTGAACACTGCCAGGGATGGGGCAGCCACAGCTCCTCTGGGCACCCTGTGCCAGTGCCTCAGCACCCTCACAGGGAAGAGCTTCTGCCTCAGAGCTCATCTCAGTCTCCCCTCTGGCAGGTTCAAGCCATTCCCCTTGTCCTGTCCCTACAGGCCCTTGACCAAAGCCCATCTCCAGGTTTCTTGTAGCCTCCTTAGGAGCTGCTCTAAGGTCTTCCGTTAAGGAGCCTTCTCTTCTCCAGCTGCCCCAGCCCAGCTCTCTCAGCCTGGCTCCAGAGCAGAGCTGCTCCAGCCCTCGCAGCATCATTGTGGCCTCCTCTGGACTCACTCTAGCAGCTCCATGTCCCTCTTCTTATTGGGGGCCAACACAATTTAATCAGAAGGAAGCAAGAGGAAACAGCACTATCAGAAATCAAGTATTTTTCTCTTGCTTTTAAGGTGAAAATGCTGGTGCAGACCTCCCGCTGCCATGCCAACACCATCAAGCTTGAAATAATCAGGAATGCACCATACCAGACTGCGGATACAGAGGCTTCCCAGAGGAATTTTCACAGGGTGAAATGTGACTTGGTGAAAGCAGTCAGTCAGTCGGCAGAAGCTGCCCAGTGTGCCCAAGAGAAAACAGGAGCTGAAGTAATTGATGAAGACTATAAGAAGTACTGCCAGACCAAGGGAGCCAGCTTGTACCAGCTGCTGGAGGAGATCAGGGATTTGGCACTACTGGATGTCTCAGCTGACATTAGAACTTGAAGTATAATCCAGAGTTGTGATCTACTCCTATCCACTCTGTATCACTGGTGGAGTTTTTAAAAGCACTCTATTTAAATATTCAAGGGTCCTTTTACTAAGAAACTAAATATCTATTTTAAATGAGAATTATTTTTATGTGATTATGAACATGTATGAGTTTGCAGAAAATTTTATATATGATAAAACTTATCTTCCAGACTAAAGGCAGTGGGGCGAGTTCTTTTAACTATCATGCCAGACATTACTTTCCCATGCTCTTCCTACTATTGGCTTTATTTCCAGTGAGTTTAATGCATACCTACACTTGTCTGTGAAGAGACATCCTGAGCACAAGGGATAGGGGAATGGAGAAGGCCTGTACTTGTGACAGCCTCATACAACAACTTCTGCAATGTAATAGCTTCCATTTTATAAAATAAAAAACTTGAAAAGCAAGTTAAAAAAATCCAGGACCACTATTGAGGCAGCACTACCTGCTACTGCATACACACTCTTAAAATAACCACAACTTTAATAGGAACTTCACCTCTCAATATTCCCAGTTGATTCAGTTTGACATCAAGTGTAAACAAAATGCAAAATAGGTCAAAAGCCCTTACTAATGTTTCTTAAACACTGTTGGAGGAGGTGGGAAAGATGGCCCAAAGGCAGGTGAGCAATTTGTTCTGCTTTCTGGTGCTCATCTGCAGTTCTAAGAGTCCAACAAAAAAACAAAAGTCATAGTAAAAAGAGCCAGCACCAAATCAGTATAATAGTACTTAAAATGCTGGGGTCTTTCCATCAGAAAGTTGTTTAGAGGAATGGTTACTGTTTTTCACTGGCACATTCCAAATCTGTGTCTCCAGCTTCTGTATCTTCATCCACAGCAACCTTGACTGCAGTAACTGGGGTGTCTTCAATAAGGTCAGCAGGATCATTAGCAACAGGGGTGTTAAACTCCTCTTCTGAGTAACCAGTGGAGAGCTCTGTTGGGGAAAACCAAAAATCAACAAAACAAACCAAAACCCTGGAAGACACCACTGTTGTGTGTTTAACTGCAGCTTCTAGCACCAGAATCAGTGGCTGCAGGAAAGCCAGCTCCAGCAATGACCAGCAAGATGAGTTTCACTTTCTCAAAGACAAAGCCATCACAACTTAGCGTGGCAACTAGGGAGGACAGTTCTGACTTAGCTTTGGAGAACTACAGAAACACAGTTCAAATTTGAGTTCCACATTCTGCTACTGACTAGAAAAGCAACCTTGCCTTTAAACTCACTCAGCAATCAGCTGCATGAGCTCCTCAGGCTACAGAACTTAACATCAACACTTGAGTTCCAAGCTGGTTACCATTGTGTTGTGACTGGCTGTGGCACTGCATCTTGGCCTGCCTGCGTTCCAAGGCGAGCTGCCTGTTCTTCTTGATTCGCTCCTGCTGCTCCTCTGTGAGAGCTGTAGCAGACACAGAGTTGAGCTGTTCTGCATTTCCAGAGCTGGAACCTCCATCTTCAGCTGCTGTATCCAGTCCATTGCTTTCCCCTTCTCTATCTGGTTAAAAATGAGGGAAAAGGAACAGCATTAACACTTTGACCCAGAGATCTACTGCTCAGTATCTCCAAGAGAACATTTTTAAAGCATTTCTAATGTTTTACATTTTAAAGTTGTATTTTAATGCTGGAGATAATTCCATAATTTAGTTTTAATGGGCAATTTTCTGCCTAGGTCCATATACCTGATATTCAAAGTATAGGACAAATGCTAATCAGGTATCTTGAACACACAACAGTAAATGCCTGGCTTTAGAGAGGCAGAGCTCTGAGTTAGCAGTCACGAGCTGTGCGTGAAGGTTAAAAAAACCCCAGCAAATCCAGGCAATCCCTACAGAAAGGCCACGTGATTGTCCACCCACCCCTACTGCTAATAGGACACTATCCTTTAGGAAGTAGCAGGACTAGTTATAGGAATGACACAGAAGTTCAAATACAGACATGAAATAGTCAGGTTTGAATTTAATGTGCTACTATTATGGAATATTTTACTTGTTTGCCAACATCTAAACATGCAAAATGGAGGTATTCCAACTCCTTCAGACAAACTTCACCCACCAGCATGAAACAGAGCACTCTCAAGAGTGCCCACAGCCCAGAATGTTTGTTTCTCTGCACCACTTTAAGCCTGTGAATAGAGAAGTTAGCTGAAAGCAAGGATTTGGTTATTAATACTCTAGCTTGAATTTTTATTTCAAAACTGTAAGATACCTACTCAAGCTTTTCAACTGGACTGACCAGTTGCAGCAGTACACTCACTGACATGGTCAAGAACAGATTAGCACCATATTTCAGTACAAATGTATGGAACCATCGCACAGAAAATCTGATCACTCTACAGACGCTGTCGGCAGGAACCATTGGCTTTACTGTCTGTGGCTGCTCACGGCTGCATTCCATTCCTA